AAATGTAAGCCAAAAAGTTCAAAGTAAAAGATACAAACCTGAGTCGTGCCGTTTAAGATTTTCTAATCTAAGTATTCACCGAGTTATTTGAAAGAAAGTGCACTCGGTTTTACAATAAAAGAACCATTTAGAAGTTATAGAAGAAAGGTCACTTAATAATTAAAATGTGGTTCCCTTTGGTGTAAATTTCTATGATACTGCACGAATAGTGAATAAGATATTAAAATCTTACGAATTTTCACACTTTTAACCGAAACCACCATAGCCGTACTCTTTATAAGTGTTTACCACACGTAACAAGTAGTTGAAATTAAGAAAAACCTATTCATTAGTTGTACAAGGATCCTCGTTTTTGATTTAAGAATTTTAGGACATTTTTTGGTGCATCCCTCAAATAGTAACCTTTGTAAGAAATGTAAAAGAATTTGGATTATTGTTTTTTCACTACACACTCGACTCCAAATATCTATATCTTATATATAAAAGACCTAAAAACTCCTTGCAGTATTGTATTTAGCTTTGTAATTTAAATATTTCACATGTTTCAGCAAAACTGTATTAGAATTTAAGTATTATTAATTTGGTTAGAACCTTAGGGAATTAAGTTTGTCACATGTAAGTTGGATATATTCAAAATTTCAGGACACCAGTTTATTACAAATAATAGCTTTTAACAAGTTTCAAAGTCCAATTTGTATAGCTATTAGAAAAACATATTCATTTAAATATATTTTGTCAAATATTCTGTGGCCTTATCATTTCAATTCCGCATTATAATTGCCAATCTCATCATCTAAAGAGTTATAATTACTACATTTCGTTAAGCTTATTAGACAATAATTGAGTCGTATATTATATAAGCCGTAAGTCTAAACAAATTTAAAGTAGGTAAATTTTTTAATATGTAAAAAAAGACAAAACTTGCATTCTTCATCATCTACAGAGCTGAGTGAAGTAAGTCTATTGCTGCTTCGTATATTAGTATGTATTATATATATCATCTTATTTTAAGGACTGAATCAGAAACAAACAAATGCTTGCGTAATTGCGCGTGCACAATTTATTTTATATATCTTATCTGCTATAGACATAAAATAAATAAATTTTGAATGAGCATTTATTTAGAATCTAATTAGTTATTGTTAAATACGGACTAAAGATCTAATTGAACTTGAAAAAGATAGGTAAAACAAAAGAAGATATTAGTAACAAATTATAAATTCTGTATTTTTTTTATCATGCTTGTACGTTTCCAAATCAACATACCGTAATTTTCGGTGTATAAGATGCCCAAAATTTGATGTCAAAATCTGCTTGCGTCCTATACACCGAAGGTATGAATAATATATATGTATAT